AGAACCTTGCTATGGAAGCCTGAGGGAAGTGTGGAATCTGTTTACTAGAGGGATTTCCTTACAGGCTACTGCTTGGAAGAGATAAACGACATCTCTGGGCAAACAAAAAAACTTTAATGTTGGAAGTAATCTGTCCTCACCAAACAGTAGCCACCATATAATTTCACAGTGGCATCTTCTGATCTGTCCCCCACATTAAAAGAAAGGACCAAATATCTTCAGGTTTATTGTTGCTTTAAAATGAAACACATCTCAGTGGCATTTATTTTTCTCCACTGATTGTGACAGCTAAAGCAGATGGGAACATCTACCTTCTGTTCTTTCAGTTCCACCACATTTTTCCTCTGGCTGATGTCTGTATGAAAAAAACAACCACCTCTCCTACAATAAATCACAGAGTCAGACTATTGCTGAAGTTGGAGGAGATCTCTGGCAATCATCTCATCAAAGAGATCCCTTTCCAATGCAAATTACATCAGGTTGTTCAGGTGTCCAGCTGGGTTTTTAATATCTTCAAGGACGGAGACTCCACAACATATCTGAGCAAGCTGTTCCAGTGTTTGGCCACCCTTGCAGTGAAAAAAACCCATCATTTTCTTACATTTAAATGATATTACCTGTATAAATATATTTTTAAACAACCCAGTTCAGTAAAGGTCAGAGAACAATGGTCTCTAAAGTCCTGACTTTTCTCCAACTGCAAGCAAATTTGAAAGACCCTTTAAAATAATTTAATATTTATTGCAGTGGTAGTCTCCCTATCTATATATGTTGTGCTGACATGTTGTAATACTGACTTTACTTATATTGAGATTATGTCACATTCGATATATACAGCTGAAGTTAATTATGACTGTATTCCTAAAACAGCAACTAAAAGCAGCAACTCATTGAAATAATATGGTCTTCAAGTAGGAGGACAGTCCTGGGACCCTGGAGACCTGTATTCAATATTCAGCTGAGATGAGGCTTGCTGAGAACTATTGAAAGGTCATGGCTACTAGAGATAATCATCTGCCTTATCTTAGGTATCTACATATCTCTTAATCATTTTAAGGTGTTCTTTTGACAAGGAAGAAAGAGGCATCTCTAGAGCATGGTTTGTTTTTTAGTAGAAAAGGTGTTCAGCGCAGGGTACAGGAATCGCCCTTTCTAAGTGGACTATACAGCCTTGGTTGGCTAGTTCAGTCCTACAGACATAACCTGTAGATGTCCAAAATCTGAGGCAAAATCTAGCTGTTATTTTCCTGTCCTTTGTTTTCAACACTGATAGAAGGATGTCTGTTCCTTAGTTTTCATAATTTATCCAGGAGAGATGATGACAATATGTTCCTTTATAGTAGTTGCTTATAAAAATCTAGGTCCCAGAACAAATCACTTTGGAATAAGAAAGCTCATGAGAACTAGGCTAGGATCATACTCTGGGAGGCATATCTCAGCCTTGAACAGCATCCCATACACTGGAATTCACACTGTCCTCTGCAAGACCATTCCCACCTCTCATTCTGAACAGCAATTCAGTATCGGATTATTCTCACATAATTTAACCAGATCTAATATTTCATCTCTTTCTCTGGGGCTCATGTGCTTCTAAAATATGAATAGCCACTGAGTGTGCTTTTCATCATGGTGTTATTGCCAAATCTTGGAATCTTTTCTCTCAAACCACTTCAACAGTTTTCTGTTTGACTTCCTGTTTCCTCCCCCAACATGAAAATCAATGGCAGAAAGTGAACGAAAAATACAACTACAGAAGTCATAATAGCGCTTTGCCTGGTGGTTGTTACATTCAAGCAGAAGAAAACTATCACCTCTCTTGCAGAAGAGAAAAAGAAAGTTCCCAGTTTTTGTGTTATTTCCTAGCTGGAAGCGGTGTAATGCGGACTCCAAAAAAGACATTATCACCCTGGTTGAAATGGGGCCAGTATTTTACTAAGCACATACAGGAGTAAGAGTAGGTATCAGCATGCCTGAAGCTTTAGGGTCTGATCCCTCCACATTAGAAACAATTTTTATGTACTCCTTAAAAAGAAGCAAATCTGAGAAACAACACATGGGCCTCATCCTTGGACACACTGAGCAAGCTGCAAGTTGCTGAACACCAAAGAGGGGACATGCTGGTTAGAGATTATTTAGGACTAGTAAAAAATACTATATTGATTGCCCCAAAGACAGATGTCTTCTGTGCAGCCCCGGCAGTGACGTGTTGTTGAGAGGATGGGATTCATGCAGCAGTGTGGGAAAGGCCTGTGCTGAGCAAACTAAGGTGAACTATTATCCCACCTCCACAGCACTGTGCTGCCCAGTCAGAACAGATACTGAATTAAACCAAATCAACGGTGAGTGAAATGATTTATTTAACCCTTAGAAAACATTCAGTTGCATTTACAACTCCCAGAATCTTTTTAACAATGAAGCATCAATGAAGCATTATGAAGTGCTGATGCCCAGATTTAGAATTTCTACGGTTATCAATTCAAAGAGATTAAGCTTGCAAGATACTACAAATAAAAACTATGTTATAGGTATAAATGCTGTTAAAGAGCTGATGATGACAGAAATACTATATGACAGACTCTTTAAGTCACATAACACAAATGTATTCCATATGAACATATTTGGTTTGTGCAGTATGCATAAATTCAGTAACTCAGCTGGCTCAGCTCCATTGATTCCTGAAACTGTGTCATTGGCACCATCTATTTTCTACACACATAACACAGCAGTGATGAGTGTGATTGAAGTGTCTATACACAGACACAGTACCATGTGAGGAAATGTCCTGTGCAAAAAATAGCTTTCACTGAAAAATTGCCCTTTACAAATAGGAATTGTTCCTAAACTTGGTGGGAGTTTAAAGACAGATAGTTTTACATTAGGGGCAGAAGGGATTTCATATCTGATTTTATTTCTTGTCTCCCTCTTTGTCCTTTTCTCTCTCTCCTTTTTTAGCCTCGTTATTTTTCCAGTTGTATCAGGGCAGGGCAAAAGATCTCACTAAAGGAATGAAAAAGCAAAAAATAACCATAACAAAGTAAAGAAGAAAAATGAATATACAGGTGGCAAAAACTTGCTCAAAATACTCAATTTATTAAATTATAGGCTCTCTATAAACTTCTAAAGTGAGGTAGAAAGATGTTTCCTTTAAAAATATATGGACCAGAAGTGGATTTATTGACGTTTACCTCTCTAAAGAGGAGGACTCTGTCTTGTGATGTGAACTGGCTAGACAAAGCCTGGACCCCTCTTCTATCTTGATGCTGCAATCTCTTAATTTGAAAGTCTGAAGGTAAGCTTTAGAGAGCAGAGCCTATCTTAATATGGTCTTTCATAGCAACAAACTCAAAGGGGCTCGGGTCACAAGTGTTATACTGCAAACAGGAAAAGAAAAATAATGGGAAGATGATGAGATTTTAGTGTATTCCCATTAAAAAGTTACTGCCATATGCTTTACTGTAAGCAAAATTACCAGAAGCATTTAACTGGATCTTGAATGTGGTTCTATCTGCCTCTGTCTTGTTCTTTCATGCTTCACACATTAACCCTCCTCTTACTTGCACAAGATCCAGCACTATTCTCTTTATACCTCTCAAAGCCCTGGTGGTACTAACTAATCTCAGAAAACCCTAAATGCATTCCCCAAAATGAGGGCTTGGGCTCTGAGGGGGGCTGAACATTCCTTTGCTATAGCAATATTGAGAACATGAGGTCCACCCTTCATGCACTGTTATGCCAGGCATGTGTGACAACTTCTGAACTGTCATCGCATCTCCTGTGAGATTTGTTCTCTTCCATACTCGGTTGCTAGCTAAAGGACTGATGATTAACTGACACAGTGAGGTCAGGGTGCATCTTACAGGCAAGATAGTGTTTAACCCACCACTGGTGCTAGATAGCACCTTAGTAACCCGTTGTGTGGTCACTTGCTACCGGTGAATTCCCTATATGCTTTAGAGATGTTCTGATGTAGCAGACTGAGGAGGAAAGGACATCCTAGTTAGATTGTGCAGGCCCCTGACAGCACAAAGCTTCCAGGTGCTGGACACTCTAGAGTCCTCTCAGGTGGCAAGAGAACTTTCTAATCATTTTAGAAGCCATCAAGTATTTTACCTGAGAGCTTAACTCAGTCATTTAAATGAAGAGGATGCAGCAGCAAGATGGAAGAGGGGTCTGGGTTTTGTCTAGACAGTTTATAACAAGAGACAGTGTCCTGGCTCCTTTAGAGATGTAAACTTTGTATTTGGGTAAAAGTGATTCTCTGCCACATCTAGCTCTGCTCCCTGCTACTAGCTGCAGCTGACATAAAGGACTGGATGTGTAATTCAGAAACAGGTCATGCAGTGAAGATGAGGAGGCAGTGTCTAAGCCTTAAGAATGGAGGATAATTTACAGGCACTTTCTGCCCTGAAGGACAATGTCCCACATAGTCCTGTATTAAGGTAGTATGTGAAGCAAAATTTGAGGCGGTATGCGAGGTAATATTAGGGGAATTCACAGTTCTTGTCTCTTCCTGTGCAGAGGAAGGAAGAGAACTGACGGTCAATCTGAAATGTAGCAGTTACCAAATAAAAATCACTGTTCCATGCACTAATTAGAAGAATTAATAGTATTCTCTGTAAGGGAAACTGAAAATCTGCTAGTTCCGTCCTCTTCCTCACTACTACATTGATTATACCTGAATCTTTCTCAAGATATAAACCCTTGTAATAAAAGTGAGGTACTTCTCCCTGAGGCAATATCTCCCACCCTTCTTGGGAGATGTTCTTCAATCTCCTTATCTTCCCTACCTTAGAAGATCTGATTAAAGCATAGCAGAGCTTCTCTGTCAATGGAAGAAAACTGCAACAAAGCCTGCCAACAGGCTCTGTAAATCCTGAAGTTCTCTGGAGCCATGTTTATTTTATTTTAGGTGACAACTAATTTTTCATTGATTTTGGGCTTGGAAAAACCTAGCTCTTCTCTATCAGCTCATGGTGATTCACTTGTTCTTCTCTTTCTAGATTGACAGCATGCAGGCTCTGCTTCACTGCCCCAATGTGCTGGTGTGCGTCGGTCGGGAGCCATTTAAACCTGTACTGATGGAGAATTTGAGGAAACACTCAGTGGAGAAGCTGCCAAACCTGGCTCCCCGTTCCAATGGCAACAATGTCAAAGAAAACAATGAAAGTAAGAAAAACGCTAGGGCATATTGCACAGTCGTCTCCAGGCCTGTGTCCCACAACATGGAGATTACAGGCACCTATTGTACTGCCCCAATGTGCAGATTTCATGTGGAAAATGTACTTCCCTCTCTCTGCCTCCCAGGCCTTTCCATCCTCCCCTTCTTTTTCTCTGGTTTCCTTCTAGGATTTCCTCCCTACACCCTCCAGTCTTTCTTTTACATGCTACCCATGTCTGGCTGACTTCCCTTCCTCTTTCATATCTCTGTGTCTCCTTTTCCTTCCAGAACTCCCTCCTTTCCTGTGTCAGCCTCTGAGACTCCCCAAACTCTTGAGATTTCCCACGAATCCTCTATCCCCTTGTCTGTCCGTCATGTAACGCTTGCACTTTGCATTTGCCTGCACCAGGATAAGAGGATGCCCACTTTTTGTCAGCAGGAGACTCAGTTTCTCCTACAGGTTACAGCTGCAATGCAGCCCTTTGGAAACAAAGCATGTTTTTATGGAAAGGTTGTGTTCAGGAAGGAGTATGTCATAGATTACTCAGGATGATACTTCTTAGACACTTCATCATGAGTTATCTAAAGTCACATGTAATTAAATCAACCATCCTCAGTAGCCTATGAAAAGAAACTTCCTATTTCCAAAGGGCAATTAATCTCACCCATACTAGAGTTTTGTTTTAGGATGAAATGAAGTATGCTCTGGATGTGCACCTGTTTCTCTCCATTGTCAATATCAGGAGCCAGGAAATGCTCACTTGTGTTTTGACAAGTTGTAGAAACTTAGCGACAGAGGCATCTCGCACTTTCTGATCAAGATATAAAAAAATTGGAGGGAGCAGTGCAAATAAACTAAAACTTTGTCCATCAAAAGACTGAGCAATATATCAGTTGAAATTCATAAAGATAGTTAGATAAGAGTTATTTCATGTGATCTTCTTTGATGTGTTTTCTGTTCAACACTTCCTTCCTAAAATGCCCACCATTCAGCTCCATATCCATATGCCCAGATATGTATCAAGTAAGCTTTGAATAAACATATATTAGAAACAAGATAGATGCATTTCTCAAGACAGCATGATGACAATGTACTCTGTTTGAAATAAAGGGTGTAGGACCTCAGTAAGTCTATGCAGATCACCGCTTTGGCCATAGAGATGTGCTTGATTACAATTCTTAACATTCCCTTACTATCACCGATTTCTTCTAGAATTACCATGATTTTTCTTTGTAACTGTCATCAGCTTATGATTCTTTTGCCATTTGTGTTTATTGTTTTATTTTTAATAAACATTATAATTATTCACAGTGGCACATCCCTGCAGGGTCTGAGTGCTGCTCTGGTCTATATGGATGTATCTGTATTTCTTGGCGAGTGGAGAAGTGGATGATGCACAATAAATGTGTGATACTTGACCTCTTGCTAAGGAAGAGGATGACTTCTCCATGTATTTGTCACTAACTAAATAAGAAGATGAACACTTGCACAGTTGAATAAAAGGATATTTGCATCATGGTAAAACAGAGAAAGTCTGAGAGTAAATCTCTCTTTGTATACATATTTCTTCTTGGCATGCACCTATTACAACAAAAAAAAAGTGTCTGTGTTTCAATTTAGGTTAAAAAAATAAAGTTAATGTATAGAAGATTTTAATGCTGATTATTCATTCAAAACTCAACCTTTATGGCCATCACTTAGTCAAAGCCAAATTTTCAAATTATGAAAACTGCTATAAGCTCAGCTTTAATAGAATAATAACAGTATCAACTAATTTGAGGGTTTGATCTATAGATTTTGTGTCATCTTTATATGAGTTCACATTTGTCTCCATCTTTCTTTTCTTCACTTATTTCAAACTCCAGTGGACTTCGGACTGAAAGCCAAAAAAAGTGTTATCCATCCACGAACAGCATCAAGCAATAGGTCGATGAGATTTTCTTTATCATCAGAAAAGTCATATCCTAACGGTCTTGCTGCCTCACCGGATAATGGTGTACCTTTCTCAGACAGTTGCTTGCATTCAAAACCTGGGGACCTGGTCCATTCCTTGGTCAATGATGACATAGAAAAACGGGTACATGTGAACAAGGATGGTAGCTTGTCTGTTGAGATGAAAGTCCGCTTCCGCTTGCTAAATGATGAGACTTTGCAGTGGTCCACCCAGATCAAAAAGTCCAATCTGATGAACCAGATGCCTTGTGAAGAGTCAGGTGTAGGGGAGGACAATGGAGTACACCCCATAGAGAAAATGAACCCAGAAGCCAGCTCAGAGGCAGATGAGTCATTATATCCCTGTGATATTGATTCTTACATGTCAAAACTTGAAGAATCAGAATGTGATGAGACTCATTGTCATAGCTGTGGAAAGAAACACCAGGACTATGACATTTGGAAAAACCCCATGCACACATCCCAGAGGGGAGAGCCCGGTGTACGAAACACCTGGCACACACGGTCATCATGCTCCAGCACATCTTCCCGAAGGAGAGTAGTCCACAAAAAAATGGCTTCTGTGGATAGCTTCCGCACCACATCCAGTGAGGAATTCTCTGAGCACATTGTGCAAGAGTCCTCATCCTACTCAGAGACTATAGAGAACAGAGTAGCATACCGATCCATTAAAAAGTGCATGTGTCGAAGTGATTTGTCAACAGGTGCTTCCAATGGAGAAGACCAGCAAGAATACACTCGAGCAAGCACGAGCAATAGTCAGAGACCTTCATCCTTGGGTTTAATGTCACATTCAAGCTGTGAAAACAACCTGGATACTCAAGAAACCCCTGAAGACCATGAGGCCAGCAAAACCAATTCACAAAATGAAGATGAAACTTGTTTTGAAGTCTCCTCTGTGAAATGCTTAAAGGATGATGGGGAAGAGATTGAAAGCAGCAGAGTTGGGAGTGCCATGTCAAGGTCATCTCTGCAATCCAGAAAGAGCAAGAATGTATGTGACGAAACAAGTAGCGTGGATAGGAGCATGTCCTCCTCAAGCCTTCAGAAGGCAAATCAAGACAATAACACTAGGTCTTCGACTCCTGCCAATAGTGTGCACAGCAAGTCTAGTAATTGTACTGCACCAAGAGCAAAGAGTGAGCAGGATGACCATTCTGATGACAACGCAGTGATCTCCTCCTTCTCCAGTGAGTCCAACACAAAGAAAGAGGCTGAAGAGGTTGAAGCAGAGCAAGAAGAAAATGAAATCAATGAAGTCAGCTCAGTGTCAGCAAAATCAAAGCCCAGTCAATTGATTAGAGATGAAAGCAGTGAAGGTGAACGATGCTCTACACAAGGAACCCCTCATTCCAGAGCTAGCGGCAGGGACAGCAAGAGAAGTGACAGTGAGGAGGTCATTCTGTGCAATGCTTCTTGCTCCTCCAGAGGATCCAAAAAGAGCAAACACAGACATATTCATTTGGACACACAGTCTGAAATGTCTGTGTCTTCACTTGAATCCACTCTGAATAAAAAGAAGAATTCCCTCCATGCAGATGATCTGAGATCATGCAGCAGGACATCCAATTACTCCAAAAGCTCATGTGAAATAAAAAAAAAGTCTGTTGGAGACCCCATGACTCATAAGTCAGGATCTTTTCATTCAAACATTTCATCTGTTAGTGAAACAGAGGCAAATGCAGGTTTTACAGAGGAGAAAAGCTTGAAAAGTACCACCAATGGCTACAGTGAATCCTCAAAAGGCTCAAAGAAGAGAAGCCATAGAGAAGAAAATAGCAAATCATCATCTGTCTGCTCAAGTGTTTCAAACCCTAATGAAAAAGCTGGAGAGGGTAATTCTAAGATTAATTCAGAGACCCCTTCTTCAAGACAGGGAAGTATGAGTGAGAGCGTATGTTCAAAAGTTGACCATTTAACTGAGACTGGGATTAAGAATGGAAATACTGCAAGTGTCTCTTCAAGGGTCTCATCAAAGTCAGAAATAAAAGATAAATGCTTATTAGCACATATATCCCAGGAAAGTGATGATAGATGCTCACGATCAAATGTATCTAAGTATTCAAAATCAAGGCAAATAAAAACTGGAAATCTTCATGTGGACATGTCAAACTCCAGCCAAGCATCATTGCCTGACACTGTGTCAGTATGCAGTATACATTGCCCTGCCCCACCAAAAGGGAAGCCGAACAGCAAAAAAATTCGTTCAACCATGTTCAAGAATTCCTCCATTAGCAGCATAGGTACTGCGTCAGTGATGACCCCACGAAAAGAGCAGAAAGAAATCATTGATTCCTCCAAAGCAACTTCCTATGGGTCTAAATCAGCTGCAGCTGAAATAGATGATGAGAAGAGTAAAGAGGTTGATGGTTCTTGCAATAAAAAAGTGGAGGAAGAGTTAGAAGGCATGGACATGCAGGAGGAAGGGAGTGAATTAGTGCCATCTACTCTACCAAATACATCTCCAGAAGAGGTTGTGCAAGAATGGCTAAGTAAAATCCCTTCAGAAACATTGCTTATGAAATATGAAATGGAGGATAATGTAGAAGAGGAATGTATGGAGGCAACCACTGAGGTATCATACTGTACAAATGCTGAGGAAATCTCAGAGGATGAAAAAGCTGAGAAAAAGGAGGAGGCTGAAAAGGAGGCAAAGGATGAAGTAGGAAAAGAGGCAGCAGAAGGTACAGCTATTAATGAAGAGGCTGAAGGATGCATGAATCAGGAAAAAATCTCTGAGGTTGTGTCTGAAGCTGACAAAGCTGACCAGGCAGAATGCAGCCAGTCAGCTACATCCCAACAAAATAGCAACAGAAGAGACCTGCCAACCACTGTCCAGACTTCAGTCCAGATCATGAAGGCCTTGCTTAGTTCAAAACATGAAACAAAATTTGACCGATCAAACAGTTTGCCTGAAGTGTCCCCTACTATGGGGAGGAAACTGAGTAACTCTGCCAGTATTCTGATTACTTGTCTTGCCAGTCTCCAGCTCCTTGACGAAGAGTCAGAAGGTCCATCAGATAAATCAAAATGTTTGAATAAGCCAAGGTATATGGAGCTCCTAAATGTTTTTCAAGCCCTGTGGTTTGGATGCATACCTGAAAAAAGTGGCCCAAGTTCAGATCAAGAAGTGTGTGAACAGGCAAAGACAGCCTCTGGGTTTAAAGCCCCCAGATCTGTAGATTATGACTTCACTCCCATGTCCTCTTCTGGGGTTGATGTTAACAGTGGTTCTGGTGGCTCAGTGGAAGAGAATACAGCTGGTGTCAGAGACTGCACTTCGGGGGCACAGAAAACTGCTGAATTCAAATCATCTGGACAAGTGGAAAATGTAGAGACTGGCACTGAACTGACCGAGGCTGAGGAGCAAAATAAAAAGGAAGAGCAGTCATCCCGACCTTCAACAGCCTGCTCAAAATCAAAGGCTGAGGAAAAAGCACAGTCTACTAGAGAGAACTCTGTAATTCAAGAGGCAGAAGAGAATAAGGAGGACCAGTGCAGTAACTGTGAACATGGTCAGGAGGAAGAGGGAGAAGATGAAGACAAAGAAAACATCAAATTAACTGAAAATGGAGAACAAGAAGAAGCTGAAGTTGTGAATGATGAACTCTCAAAAGAAAATCTTGAAGAAGAAGCTGATCAGCTAGCTGCTACTGATGATACAAATGTCAATGATGCTGACTGTGGAACAGAGCTGAAAGACGATTCGGAAGAGCAGCTTGAGAAAGAGTCTCCAAGCGACCCAGAACCCAAAGTTGATACAGCCACCAGTGTGGGCACATCCTTTGTTCAGCAAAACTCAATGGATCCAGACCCAGTTTGGGTCCTGAAACTACTCAAGAAAATTGAGAAGGAGTTCATGGCTCACTATGTCAGTGCCATGAATGAGTTCAAAGTCAGGTGGAACCTGCAGGATAACAAGCAAATGGATGAAATGATATTGGAACTGAAGGAGGAAGTGAGTAAAAGGATACAAAAAAGCATAGAGAAGGAGCTGAGAAAGATCAAAACCAGAGCAGGCAAGAAGCTGCCAAGACCTCCGGATGAACCTCTCAGACGAGAGTCAACACTCCAAACTGAGCAGAGGAGACTGCGATTGCAAACTATGCATAAAAAGTCACACTTCAGTGACAAGAATGGAAACCAGACTAGGCTAGAAGACACATCAGACTTATCTTTTGATGTAGATAAAGATATAGCACTTAGTGAAGCTTTTGAAGGCAGTATTAGTAAACAAACAAGCGAGGAGGAATACTGCCCATGTGACTCTTGTGTGAGGAAACAAATGGCTTCCAAACCCACAAGAAATCCAGTGGTGGCCACCAATGCCCCAGTCATGAAAGCATTTGATTTACAGCAAATCCTGAGGTTAAAGAAAAATTATAATGAGGAAGCCTGTGTCTCAGAAGCAGCCCAAGACAACAAAACAACTCCCAGTAGTTCTGTGGAAGAAGCAACAGAAAATGGCAATCCAAATGAGGAGAATGATGAGGGTGAAACAGAAGTGGAGGGCAATGAAGAAAAGGAGCCAGAATTAAATGAACTGGACAGCTCAGTGTTGAATGGATGTGAAGGATCTGAAATATCAGAAAATCAAAACTGTGAGGTGGAGAATGAAGTTAAAGATGAAGAAACCAATGAAGAAGAAAAGAAAGAAGCAGAAGTGGAGGAAGAAGCAGAAGAGAGAGAAGAAGAGGAAGCAAAAGAGGAGAAGGAAGAGGAAGAGGAAGAAGAAATAATGAATGTAGAAGAAGAGGAGGAAACAAAAGAAGAGGAGGAGGGAGAAACAAACGAGAAAGAAGATGAGGAAGTAAAAGAGGAAGGAGCAGAGGAAACAATGGAGGAAGAGGAAATAAATGAGGAAAAAGAGAAGGAGGAGGAGGCAGGAGTGGAGGAGGAGGAAGAAGAAATAAAAGAGGAGGAAGAGGAAGAAATAGAAGAAGAAAATATGAATGAGGAGGAAAAAACAAAAAAGGAGGAAGAGGAAGAAATAAAAGAAGAAGATGAAGACATGAAGGAGGAGGAAGAAGCAAAAGAGAAGGAAGAGGAAGAAGCAAATGAGGAGCGAGAAGAAGAGAAGGAGGAAGAGGAAGAAATAAAAGAAGAAGATGAAGACATGAAGGAGGAGGAAGAAGCAAAAGAGGAGGAAGAGGAAGAAGCAAAAGAGGAGGAAGAGGAAGAAGCAAATGAGGGAGAGGAAGGGAAGGAGGAAGAGGAAGAAGCAAAAGAAGAAGAGGAAGACATGAAGGAGGAGGAAGAAGCAAAAGAGGAGGCAGAGGAAGAAACAAAAGAGGAGGGGGAGGAAGTGAAAGAGGAAGAAACAAAAAAAGAAGATGAAGACATGAAGGAGGAGGAAGAAACAAAAGAGGAGGGGGAGGAAGTGAAGGAGGAAGATGAAACAAAAGAAGAAGAGGAAGACATGAAGGAGGAAGAAGAAGCAAAAGAGGAGGAAGAGGAAGAAGAGGAAGAAGTAAGCAAGGAGCATGATGAAGCAAAAGAAGAGGAAGAATCAAAACAAGAGGAGCAGGAAGTGGAAGAAAAGGTAAAAAAACCCAAAGAGGAGGAGGAGGAAGAAGCAAAGGAAGAGGAGGAGGAATTTAATGGAGAAGAGGAAGAACAAGAAGAAACTCAAAATGAAGAACAGGAAGCTGAAGCTGAAGCTGACAATGATGCTGAAGAAGAAGAGGATGAGGACACTGGGGCTGATAATGAGGAAGAGACATCTGAATGCAGGGGAGATGCTGACGGCTCTCTAACTGTCAACAGTCCTGAAGGAGATGCTTCAGAAGGAAGTGAAAAAGCTGAGCAGCATGAAGCTGAAGCAGAGGAAGTTGCAAATCCAGAATCAGATGAGATGTGTTCGGATAAGGAGGAAAACAACAGTGAAGGAGATGACAAATATGATGAGAATTTTGAGAAACCCGCTAGTGATAACCCTGACAAGGCACATGAAAAACATGAAGTGAAAGGGGTGAAAGGTAACAAGGTTTCTGAGAGAGCCTTAAAGGCCAAAGAAAGAAAAAGCAATAAAAGGCTAGGGACTCTGAACAAAGCAGCTGCCTTTTCTTGTTATTCTTCTGTAGGAAACTTCTCACAGCAATCTCAGAAGGGGTCTGAAGATGAAGATGAGGAAGAACGCAAAGATGACAATAACTCCATGAGCAATCTTCCTAATGGAGAAGTGCAAAGTGATGAGAGCAGCAAACCCTCACAGATGTATCCTGACAGCGAGGAAGAAGACGACAAAGCATCTTCATGCACTGATCCTTTGGAAGATGAGAACCAGGTAGACACTGAAGGGACAGATTCAAAGGAGGTTGAACATACTGAAAAAGTTCAGGCTTCTAAAAAGAAAGAAGACTCTAATGAGATTGGCCAGGATGACCTGGACTTCTAGAACTGCTTATCAAAATCTGCTTTTTATTTTCTTCTTCCTTTCTTTTTTTTTAAAGTATGTTTTCATTAAGTGTTACAGTATCTCCAGTGAGTTGAGCCATCATAATTGGCTTTTATTCTGAGTTAAGTGTGGTAAACTTGATCTTGAATCCTGTGAGTAATGTTGCAATTACCTGCCCTCATTTCTAGAGGGCTACTAAACTCATTAAGATGTAATGTTTTTAGTAGAAAAGTGGTTTGGGGAAAGGGAAGGCTGGTTTGTTTGCGATACCTTCTTGTGCCCACTTTTTAAGCCATGCTGTTTGCTGCTTGAGTGATCTCTGGCTCTGCTGGGCGTCATCTCTGAGTGACTTCAGGATGCCTTTTGTCTGTTGCATGCCATTTTCCTGGAAAGTTTGCCAATTCACAGAAACATGACAAAATCCGGATTCATTGCCAAAGTCTTGTCAGAGCCCACAGAGAAATACATTCACTTCCTCCCTACATATCCTACCGTACCCTACCCTATCTTACCCCACTCTACCCTACTCTACTCTACTCTACCCTACCCTACCCTACTCTGCCCTACCCTACTCTACCATGCTCTACCCAACTCTACCCTACCCTACTCTACTCTACTCTACTCTACCTTACCCTACCCTATCTTACCCTTCTCTACCCTACCCTACTCTACCCTACCCTATGCTACTCTACCCTACTCTACCTTACCCTGCCATACCCTACCCTACCCTACCCTACTCTATCCTCCCCTACCTTCTCTGTACCTCGAAAAAGGGTCTGAGATATCAAAGTCTTTCCCCACTTCCCCCATTTTTTGTTAGTAGATGTTGAGATTACTCCTCATTTCACTGGAAATCCTCAACACCAAGAAAGGTTATTCCTGTAGAGCTCCTCTTTCAGACCACCTATCTGTTTGTACTGTGCTCATTACTGTAGTATGTAATCATGTACTGGTAGATAAAAAAGATGAGTTAATTCACCTATCTATACGAGGTGTCTGAGGTAGTGGTTGAATGCAATCTTGACCAAATTAGAAATTAGTAAAGTTCCATTCCTTGTAATTACCTTTACTATGCCAATGATAGTATCTAAGCACTTTATAATCATCTGGGATCCCTCAGATGATATTGTATGAGGCCCTGTTTCAAAGCTATAGGATCTGCAATTGCTCCGTGCCTCGCCCTTGCAGACAACCAATAAGATTTAAGCTAATTTTAGCTTTAACATGGAAAAACTTTGGGCATTTGTGCTGCAGCAAACAGCTGGAAGAGGCTCAAGCATTTACTGGAGATGCTGGACTTAACAAATCATTATAGAACTGTGAATTTAATTTAACAACTGTTTTCTATGAGATTGTATCTTTGGGAAACAGTGTGTTTTATCAATACTTTGCAAGGAAAATAAAACAGCAAAAAAAATTTGAGGGTGAAAACAAAATGCCTTAAATTGTATGGTGGAAAAGTATGTGTGTAGTATTGTGCCAGGTTTGCGAAAATGCATGCGGACATGTTGAAATAATCAATATTCAGTATCAAATAATTGACATTGTTATCATTTTAAGAAACAGTTTCTTAAACTCATAGCCAACACGTTGATTTCCACAGATAAGGTTCATTTCAGTCAAAGTAAGAATTTGGTTCAGCTCCAGAGGTGAACACTTAATTTTAGGTGTCTGAGAAATATGGAGTAACCAGTGGTTAGCTGCATCGCAGCTGGTGTGCCCTCACAAAGGCTTATAGTGTGATCTGTCTGAGGTCCCCCAGATGCCCTTTTTAAGAAGGAAAGATCTGGGCTTTCCTAAAAAGAAGGGTAACCCTAACTGTTAGCCTCAAGTGGATGTCTTGGGTTTCCTAGGACATCTCATGTGGAACTGTGTGTTTCTCTAGATACAACTCTGCTGAACCCTGACTGTCTCAAAGTTTGATGTATTGTCTCCTCTGGTAGTCTCAGTTCCATGTTTTTTTCTGCAGACATTTCCATATCTAAGATTACTAGCTTCCAGACACCTTAGAGTCTATGTAGTTTAAACTTACAGGTTTAGTGCCAGTTAAGACAGCCTAGGGAACCCAGTATCATGCCATAGTGTTGGCCTAAAGAGATGCAGGTCTTTTGTAGGTCCAGAATCATATCACAAATTCCTTTTAAATGTCAGGGATGTTTGAGGGCATTTTAAACTGAATTAGTTGTGGATGTAAAAATAACTTAATTCACCCCTAAAACTGTGTAAGTGAATACTACCTCAAGAAGCTGAAGTACAAGTTTATAACAAAGCATTAAAGCTCAATTGGCTTTGAAGTAGGTGTCGTGGTTTAACCCCAACTGGCAGCTAAGCCCCACACAGCCTCTTGCTCACTACTCAGTGGTGGGATGGGGGAGAGAATCGGAAGAGTAGAAGTGAGAAAAATGGTGGGTTGAGATATTGGGTAACACGAAAACTTAATTTTGCAAGCAAAACAAACCAAGGAATTCATTCACCACTTCGCATCACAGGCAGATGTTCAGCCACCTCCAGAAAAGCAGTGGTCCATCACACATGAATTGTTATTTGAGAAGACAAATGCCATTACTCCAAACTTCCCTCCCTTTCCTTCTTCCCTCAGCTTCATATGCTGAGCATGACATCATATGGTATGGAACATCCCTTGAGTCAGTTGAGATCAGCAGTACTAACTGTGTTCCGTTGCAGCTCCCTGAGCACCCCCAGCCTGGCCAGCTTCTCGCTCGCTGATGGGGTGATGTAAGGCCTTGACTCCATGTAAGTACTTCTCAGCAATAGAGTGAAAACATCCCTGAATTATCAACACCATCTCCAGCACAAATCCAACACATAGCTCCATGCCAGTTACTATGAAGGAAAGTAACTCTAGCTCAGCTAAAACCAGCACAACAGGAAACTGGAAACTCTCCTCTGACACAGCAATAGTTACACATTTTTCTAGTGTATCAGTATTACACCACCAAGTTAATTCCCATATCTGTAGTACCTAATGAACACTACACCTACTTCAAGGGCCAGTCCTGTAGCTTCTGTACCATTAAAGGTCAACCTTAAGGTGCTATTTGAAGGTTGTCATGCATGATCTTGGTGCTAGGCTTTGCATATAGCTGAACATTGCTTGTATGAGCTGGATTTGGTTGCAAATGCCTTCAGGCACCCATCGTTCACAAGACTTGATAGTCCTAATGAATCCTCCTTGTCTAGACTTATGCTCATGGCTAAAAACAGAACCCACACAGGAAAAATGATCCCTCTGGTATTTACTGTCTGGGTCAGAAAGAAACAGAACTGCTGTAGGGCAGTTTTCCCCTTCTGTAGTGATGTCCCATGACATCAGTGTTCTGACTCTCTATTAAACCTTTCCAAAATTTCCACAAACCAATGCCAAAACACTTTTTTAAGGTGTCCAGCATGAGAAACATCAAAAATACAGTTACATCCATTGATTTATAGTTAAGGGAAAGGCATCAAGGAGAAAATTACTGCTGGGTTAGATTCATATCACTGACTTTAGGCATGTGTGTCAGTTTTTTTGTCCT